GGCGTGGGAGAGGAGGTGCCGGCCAGCCTCGGAGGGCTGCCTGCTGGCCATGTAGGAGAGCTGGGGTCGGGGCCACGGCTCCGTGCCTGCCGAGGGGACCGCTTCGAAGACGGGGTTCTCGATGCCGTGGGCACTGCTGCAGGAGAGAGGAGGGTGTGAGGCGTGGGGATTTGCATTTTGATTTCACCAGCCCTTTTTATCCCCAAGAGAGCAAGCAGGGAGCCCAGCACAGGGGGGAAAGTTTAGCTCAAAGGCACCGTGGTTTTGAGTTCTCCTGGGGCGTGGGGAGATGTGCGCCCTTGGCACAGACAAAAAGAAAGGACACTTCCCTCTTGGAGGGAGAGAAGAGAAACTGGCTGCCTGGAGAGGGGCAGGACCATGAGCGTGGGTGCCACCAGCATCCCTTCATTCTGTCAGGCTGAAGATATAGGCCAGCTTCAAACACAGGAGAGGAGAGGACAAGACCGCTGTGGGGTGCAGGATGTGGGGAGAGGGGGTGTGAGGAGGTTGGGAGAGCTGGAAGCGTGTAGGTTTCCTCACCTCTCCATCCTGACAAGCTCATGGGCACCTGCCGAAGACAAAATGGTTGGTGTGAGTGCCAGCATAACACCCAGCAACCCAGACCCACCACCAGTGCTGTTTTCTGGTGTCTTATCCACATCCAATTCCCCCTCTTCCTCTGCATTCCACCTTCCTTATTCCTCTTCTTCAACATCAGCCTCTTGTCTGCTCCCAGACCTCCTTCTCCACATCCCTGCCATCTCCGGTCCTGTTTACCCCCCAGCATGGGCTCCTCCCACATTGAAACCACAGGCTCTGAAGAAGGGGAGGGAGGAGGAACTTCTGGTGGCATGGGCTGAGGCACAGCTGTGCTTCCTGGGCTGCAGCCTGGCCCTGCTTGTGCCCAGATGCACCCACCACCGCCTGAGACACCCTCCCAGGGCTCCATAAAAAGGGCATTTTGCTTTCTCTGAGCAGCATCTTGATATTTATTATTTCCTCATCCCCTTTGCTTCAGCAGGTCCCACAGCCCATCTTACTGTATGGGGAGCATCTGGAGCTGAGACACACAAGTTTTGGCCCAGACTGTGCTGATGGAAAGCAGCTGGCGGAAATAACCTGTAGCTAACCTAGTCTGGGACACCCCAGAAGCAAATCCCTCTGGATTTTGATTTCCCTCTTGGATTAAATAGCCCCCAGGTGATGCTTTGCAGCACAGGGAGGGAGCTGCACCTCAGCTATGGCAAAATGGATATCTGAAGGCACACGCCAGTCTTTTTGGCCAGGGATGGATGTCGAAAGTGCAGTTCCTGTTCTTGTGGCTGGCATCACACCCACCACTGCTACAAAAATCACTTCTCCAAAGGGTTTGCTCAGAGCCCCACAGCCGCCCACCGGTGAGAGAAACCACAGGGCCTCTGGCTTGCTCAAGGCCTGATGAAATGGCTCTTCCTGCTTAATTACTGAAATCATGGGGAGCAGAGCTCAGGCAGCCACCTGCACCTCGGCACTACCTGGGCTGGGGTGCTGTGGGGAGACCTCGCCTGCTGTGGTCCTATTGCCATAGACACAAGGGGGTCTTCGAAAAGAGAGGGGGAGGAAAAGCACAAATAATGCTTTTTTAGAAGGCAAAACTTCTATTTTGGCTGTGTGGTGGAGGGAGGGATGAGTAAATGAGTCATCTCTTGCCGTGGAGGGGGAGGGAAGGGCTTGGCAGGAAGGGGGTCTGGCAGCATCTTTGCAGTTTCAGTGGCCCTGGCAAGGCCACCTGGGTCCCCATCCCAACCCACACTCCTCAGCAGAAGCCTGCGGGACTGTCCAGCCCTTCCTAGGACAGTTTGGCAGGAGGCACCTGGCAGGGACCTGTCTTTGGGCCACCTTACATGGTGCCCATGGGACTCAGGAGAGCCGAACCAGCCGACCCCGGTGGGACACATCCCATCCCATAAAGGCCATGCTGATGCAGCTGGGGATGTCATGGTGGGTGACACTGATGATGGGTGGAGAGGGATGGCTACGTACGTCTGTTGCTGACAGCTTGTCTCTGCTTGTAAATCAAGAGCAGGATGAGGGGAAGGCAGAGGATGCCCACGATGCAGGCGCCTGTCGCCAGCGCGGCAGCCGTGATATCTGCAACAGAAGAAGGGCAGAGCTGGAGTGGGTGGTGGGGAGGGTTCTCCTCCTATCTCCTCAGTTTCCTCCAGCTGTGGCAGAAGCATGGAGCACCACTAGCATTGCCCCACGCCTGACACAATGTGGCTCCCACAGACATGGGTGGTCCACTCATAGCAGGATTCATACTGGACTGCATTACCAGTTGCAGAGATAAGCTCTGCTGTATCAATTTAGGACCTTGACTAAAGTCCTTCATTGCTGAAGGACATCTCAAGGTCTTCCTTTGGTCTTCTAGGTAGGAGGAGAGAAGCGAGGGCCTTGATAAAGCCCTCTGAAGTCAGCAGAAAGGCTCCCGGGGATTTCAAATAATGCTGACTCTGACCCACAGCCAGCTCATCAAAATTACACTGTCTTAAAGTACTCAGGCATCAAAAGGTTCATTACCATGGCCTCTGCTAATGAATGTGCCCCTGGAGAGCACAACCCATAGAGACTCCCCAGGAAGGCTGGTGGTCTGTGGCCATCAAAGTCCATGTGGAACAGCTTGTGTTGGAGTTGAGGGCAGGTTCAGCTCAAGCCCTTCTCTCCTGTGCATCCATCTGGGGAAGGAGCTTCCACAGAGTGTGTGTTTGGGTGGGGGGGGGGAATTATTTTTTTCCCCTTTTCATTGTTGCCCAGCACTTGAGACTGAGGGTTTGAGACAGCAAGCACTACTCACGGGGACCAGGGGCCAATTTCCCATGCCTGGGCTGGCCCCCACCATGCTGCAAAATAATTTTAGCAAAATCTGCCCATTTAGCAGCCAGTAAATTTGGGTAGACAGAGCGACCTGCTGGGAAACCACCTGCATAGCAAAGTGTGGGCACCTCCAGTGTCTAGACACAGTGCTGGGGGAGCTTCATGTTGTCTGAGCGCTCAAGCAAGGTTTGGGTTTCCCCTGCTAGAGCATCTCTGCTCAGGGCAAGGTGACATGGGCTTGGGATGGCAGCAGGGTGTTGCAAGAGGTGCCTGCAACTCTTTGCCTTTCTGTCCCTTCCTATCTGTTTGTGGCAGCAGCTGCTAAATCCCCAATCATGTAATCAGGTGCTTTACAACCTGGTGAATGTGCTTTTACAACAGGGTGCATGATCTCCCTGGGCTTCAGGACATCCATGTCCAGGTGATGGTCTGAAGGAAGCTCTCCTCAGCCTGTCACCATGCCTGTCAGATGCACACTGTAGGGACAGCCTCAGAAACCACCCTTCTGACACCCAACCATGAGGTTGCATCTGGACACTGGCAAGCAGCCATCCCTAGGGAAACATGGACCAGGATGGTGAGCAACATCCTGGAGAGAGGGTTTACCTCCTTTTACCTTTGCTGGTGGTGGAGTGAAATGTGCAGTTTTGAAGCCCTCCTCTGCCTGTGGTGGAGAAGAGAAAAGCATGTTAGATCCCAGGGGATTTGCTCAAGTACCACAGAGCTGCTAGCTGTGCTCGCCTTTGCTCACTAGTGCTGAGAAAATCAGCCCAGAGCATCCCAAAAGCAAGAGTTTTAATCCTGAGAAGCTTACAATGAGAGTCCTGCTCAAGACCCCTTTCCCTCACGGCAGCAGGGCACACCCTGGTTGTGCAGGCTCTTCTTTTTTAGTGTAAAAGAAAAATAATCTATCCTAATGCTGCAAATAAAGGGCAGGAGATCCCTTCCCCTCTATGTCATGCCTCCCTGGGCAGCTCTCCTTGCTGGGCTGCTGTCCCAAGATTATCTACAAGCCCTGCATCCCAAGCAATGCCTGCAGCCCTCGCTTGGGCTTGGACCACCAGCCATCTCCTTTTATGTTGAGGTTTGTTTTCCTCCCTCCAAGAAAGAGGTTGAAGAAGATCAGTGAAACTATGTAGCATGAATTTTATTGCATTCCAGCCTCTTGATTTTTTTCTTTTTTTTTTTAATGTTCTAATGCTCTCTGGCCCACATTCAAATCATCAACATCTGTTGCTCTTTGACTCTTCCAACATGGCTCAGGCTTTCAGCAGCCCCAGCTCCAATGCTGCACCCCAGCATCCCCCACCAGCACCCTGGCATGGTTGTGGGGCTGACAGGGGCTCCCCTGGCCCCACTCACCTTGCTGGATCTGCAGCTCCACGAAGCCGTGAGCGACTTGCACGGTTTGGGGCTTGCCGTGCTCCCTCCTGGCCTCCATGGCATAGCAGCAGTAATTCCCACTGTCCTGCAGCGTCAGGTTCATCACCACGATATGAAAGGCACCGTGGTGATCAGGAACAAATTCCACCCCGTGATGCCCTCTGAGGGGGGATTTTTGGGTGCCATTACCCCACGGCTCACGGTGCCTGCTCAGGTCGTGGTGCAGCTCCCTCTCGGTGACGTTGCGGATGTGCTTCTTCTCGGAGCAGCTCTGGTCACCGTTGCTGCTGAAGTACCAGGTTTTGTAGAGCAGGTCGTGGTGGTCGGCGAGGGAACCGCTGATCCGGCAGGTCAGGGTGACGTTCTGGCCCTCGGGGCAGACGCAGAGCGAGTACGGGGTGGTGATGAGGAAAGCTGCTGGCCCTCCTGATGAGGAGAAGATGCAGTGGCTGAGTCAGACCCTGAGCTTACTAGGAGTTTGTAGCAGAAGTTGGGATCCCTCCCCAAACAAGCACTGAAAAGCCCATCGCTGACATTGGCAGAGGGGTTGCAGTGAGCGTCACCACCGCTTTGCAAACAGAGGGAAAAAAGCCTTCAACCCATACCCCCAGGGCAAGGAAAACTCCTGAGCACCCCATATCCCAAGAGAAGGGAGATGGGAAGCACAGCGTGACCTCCATAGCAACATCCCATCAGGGCTGAGAGTACAACTTCACCCTAGAAATAAGCCCTGGAGTAGAGCCATGCTTTAAATATAGCTGAACATCAGCTTTTAATAGCAGTGGGGAAGCAAAAGTTTGCCCAGAGCTAGCAGAGATGTGGGGCAGAGAGGTGGAAGGATATTTTGGGGCACCAGCCTTCTGTAAAGCAAAGCAGCGGGGTATGACTTGTGAATGAAGAAATACAAGTGCTGAGCCAGCTGCAAAAAGGAGAAAAATTAAAAAGAAAATAGCTGGGAGGAGCCCATGCCCCCTGAGATGAGGCGGGGAGCAGGTCCCACCCTGCTTGTTTTTCAGCCCTTGAGGAGGAGAAGGAGGAACTGGCCAACACTGACTGTGGGGAGCTGCTTGAAAATGAAAACAGTTTTCAGAAAGAAATCCCTGGCTTCTGAGAACCATGGGTGGGAGGCTTGGCAGAGGTGCAGGAGTGAGGTGTGTAGCACAGAGTTGCTGGTCCTGTCTCAGCACACTGGTGGGCTGTACTGGTGGATAAGGGCAGAGAACAGAGCAAAGGTGGACAAGCCATCAGTGCTCTGGCCCCACTGCTGCCTTGCGTTCACAGAAGTTGTGAGTATCACTTTAGAAAGCTGAAGAAAAAACAGATTCTGGCTTCATTTTCTTTAAATTATTGAAAAAAAAGGGGATTCCTAGGGGCTAGTTTGCAGCAGAGATGATGATATATGGGCAAGGCGTTCTTTTGTTTTGGTGACATCCTGTTGTGCCATTACCTCCACCGCCGTTTCGCGTTGAGGTTTTTCACTTGCTATATCGAGCGGGTGGCAGTCAGAGGCGGGGTGTGCTGTGGGTGTGCTGTGGGTGTGCTGTGCCTGCCTGCAAGCTGCCCCAGAAGATCCTTTCCCATCACCTGGCTGCACAGAGAGTGGCCATCCTCTGGGCAGGGTCACCACAGCACCACCCCGCCATGGAGCTCCACTTGAGAGAGTGAAACTGAAAATGTCCCCCAGGCCTTCTACCCGTGTGGCTATTGACGGTTGTTAAGAGGAAGAACAGCCATGAAGCCCCTGAGTCCCAGCAGCCTGACAAGGAGTTCTGCAGGGCTGGGGATGGTGTGACTTGTGCCAAACTGCTGCAGTTAGTCATAGAATTGTTTTGGTTGGAAGAGACTTTTAAGATGATCAAGTCTAACTGTTAACCTGGTGCTGCCAGGGCACCACTAAACCATGGCCCTCAGCACCACATCTAAATAGCTTTGCAATCCTTCCATGGATGAGAACTCCATCACTGCCCTGGGCAACCTGGTCTGGGTCTTGACAACCCTTTGCAGGGAAGATGTTTTTCCTCATGTCCAACCTAAGCCTCCCCTGGTGCAACTTGGGGCTATTTCCTCTTGTGCTATCACTTGTTCCTTGAGAGAAGAGACCGATCCCCACCTGGCTCCAAGCTCCTTTCAGAGAGTTGTTTAGAGTGAGAAGGTCTCCCCTGAGCCTCCTTTGCTCCAGGCTCAACAACTCCAGGTCCCCCAGCTGCTCCTCACCAGCCCTCCTCTGGACCTGCTCCAGACCCTCAATGTCCTTCTTGGAGTGAGGGGGCCAAAACTGAACCCAGGATTCTAAGAGTGACCTCTCCGTTGCCAAGTCCAGGGTGATGATGCCTGTCCTAGTGCTTCTGTCCACACTAGTGCTGATCCAAGACAGGCTGCTGTTGGCCTTCTTGGCCAGCTGGGCACCTGGGCACACACTGGTTCATCTTCAGCTGGCTATTGACCCCCAGGTCCTTTTCCACCAGCAGCTTCCGCTCCAGCAGCACCTCAGCCTGCTCCCCATAGCTCAAGCAGCAGGACATGCCCCAGGCTGCTCTGGGGAAGAGGTTTGCATGGTCTGAGCTCAACATTGCCTCATTTAGTCTTGTTTCCAAGCTTCAGCTTCTCCTCATCCTCAGATGTTGCTACGTTCAGGATGCTTGACCAGGCTGGCTGAGTTTTGGCACACAGCAGAGTGGGTCTCCCACCTTCTCACCAGTACTCTGAGCACAAAAGGCACCTCAGATGTGTTTCTTAATACCTGCTGCAACAGGAAGTGCCCCATTCACATTGAGGGTCCCCTGGGAGCCAGGGGAAGGGAAGCCAGGGCTCTATTGGAGGAAGCTGCACTTCCAATACCTTGCAAAAGTATCTGCAGGAGTCTTTGTTTTACATACACACCCCCTCAAATAAAATGGGGCCATCTCACTCATCCCCACAGAGTTTGCAAAGCTCTGCCTTACTGAACCATCCAGCCTCCACCTCCAGGACTTGATGGGAACCGTCTGGAAGGAAAGTCAACACAGCCCACGCTTTCGGCAGCCGCAGGGAGGGGCAGAGGTTACCACGTGTGCAAAGCCTTCAGCATTACCAACTTCCCTTCTTTCTCCCGAGCAGGGGAAGGCTTCCCAAAGTCATTGAGTAGAGGAGAAAACAGCAGGGAAGGAAAGCTGGCAAGGGACCATGTGCCCCATAGCAACACCAGGGAAGTTGTCCCCTCCCCAAGATGGGGGTTTAAAGCTGTGCTAGATGCCAGATGGTGCTGGAGAAGAATGCCTGTCAGTGTCTTTATGCTAAAACTCATGGATCTTAATCTCCCTGAGGCTTCTTCCATGCCCAGACCCCAGCTTTGGCTCCATCTCACCCCAGCAGGACAGCTGCTTTTGAAGTCAGCACTGCTGGCAAATGCCAAAAGAAAGCCAGATGCCCATTTCGGTGCATCTTCAGCTCTGAGAGCCTGGACTCATCAAGGTCCAAGATGAGACCTATTGTCTTGTCACCATCTGGTAGAGACAGAGGAGGTCTCAAGTGGCTGCCAAAAGTGCTACTCTTCCTCATTGGCACCTAGGTATCTTCGTCTCCACCCTGTGGCGTTGCATCAGTGCCATACAGAGCTCAGTGCATCATTGGTACATCCCTGAGTGCCAGCACCACTGCCCGGCTTGAAACCTGGGAACTTGCCTTTCAGAGACAAAAGAATGCAAAAAAAGTTATAGTGCTGAGGGGCTTGTGTTGCTTTGCCAACCAACAGCTTAAATAAAACAGGATTTCGTGCCAAATTCAGGGTCAGTGACCAAAAGCCTCTCCTAGCTTCTTCTCCTACCTTTGGCCCCCCACTCTGTTAAGCAGGTGTTTGAGTTTCACTCCTGGGACTTACAGAAGCTATTTCCACATCATGCCACCTCTTTCCACTGCAGGGAAATCTGGAGGGGGAGGGGGCTGCAGCCTTTGGAGGGGCTGACTCACCACAGAGGAGGGGGCTGCTGGAGAGAGAGAGGCTGCTCAGTTCCTGACTGAGGAACCCTGCTTTAATTCCTCTTCTAAGAGCTTTCTTAATAGCCTAACATGAACGTGCCACAAGCACCATCGTCACCGTGTTGTCATTATGCTTCAGAGTTATCAGCCAGGTGAGATGTGTGGGGGCATCCATACCTTGGCACAAGTACTTACAGCAGGAAAGAAAAAGGAGAGAAAAATACTTACTGAAGATGCCAGAGCTGCCCACCTTAACAGCACTCATCTCCTGCACCCTGAAGAGCCAAATGGCTCTTCAGTGGTGGGGCCACTCATCATCCAGGCCATGGGGACAGCAGCCTGGAGCTGCTGCACCCTTTGGAGCATCCTGCCTCTCTCCTCCTCTAGCAGAGCCCTGGCTCAGGAACAGGGTCACAATGTCAGGTTTGCACCTGGTATGTGACTTTGGAAATCCCAGCTCAGCTGCTGGCCTTCGAGTGGAGAGAAGCTGCTTCCCCACCCACCTAGCTGCTAGCATCCACAGCCCACAGAGGAGCTGGATGGCTCCAAGGTCTCTACTTCTTCATCAAACCCTGCTAAAATTAGCTGGGGGTTCAGAAAGTTTTGGCAAGCATGTGGTTGCACAAAGCTCAGTTCCTCCAGCACCAGGCTCACATTAAAGAGCGGTGTCCAAGCTCACTGCATTGCAGAAGACCTGATGTTCCATCCTAGCACCCCAGACACATAAATTAAATAACCCAAAGTCCCACAAAGATGCTAGGAATAGCTTCCTGATGTCAAGAGACTCAGGTGAGAAGCAAAGAGTGCTTCAGTCCACACCAGCCTCTTGCTGTCCCAGAGGAGAGCAGGGATCCCCCATCCCATCGCAGTGGGGCATCATTTCTTCCTGGGCTTATGCCAGCAGAAAACCTGGGGGCTGTCACTTTGCCTTCCCGGGATGCAGGGAGAAGCCAAGCCCAATAGCCTGTTTGTCCTCTCTTTGCACAAGGCAAAGAAGGACCACGGTTCTTCCAGCTCCGTTCTCTGACTTCTCATCTAGAGTTGAGCTGCAGTTTAAAGTGCCACCACCCTTGTTTCACTGCCTGGCCCCAAAGCCCCGGTACGGAAACGCTGCCTGCCAGGGCTGGTGTGGAGTGGGGCGTGAAGCAGCACCCCTCCCAGAGCATCCCCCCTGTCACACAGGCAAGGACCAGCAAGCTTCCAGCTCAGGGGAAGAGAAACTCAGTAGCCATACACAGCAGTCCTGGCCCACCTGCAGAAGCTGCCCAGCACATCCCAGCAATTAGGGTGGAGAAGAGCATCCTTAGAGAGGGTATCCCAGCCCTGCTGGCACAAACCCCCTCTCCGCTCACCCAGGGCTGGTGGAAGGCTCCTGTCACCACAGCACGACCAAGGACCCACACAGTGCTGGGCCAAAGTGCTGTGCAGGAGCAAGGTGGCTTTTCCAGCTCGGAGTCCCCAGCGGGGGACTGGCGGGGACAGGGGGTGGCTGCTTTCCTTCCATGCATGTTAGATCAAAGCAAAGGAAGAAGGAAAAACCAAACAACCCCAGAGTTTTAAAACTGCAGGTCCCCTGCGGCCCCTTCTCCCCGACACAACCAGCATCACGTGGGGCGATGGCTTGATCCCCCCCCAACCCAAAATCACAGGGTGAGAAAATAAATAACCCTCCAAATGCCCCAAATTCCTCATGCCGAAGCAGAACCCTGGCCGGGTGAAGGAAACGGGAGTTTCTCTGAGCTGGGAGGGGAAGAAAGCAAGCTGGAGCTTACCGTGGGAAGCCAGCAGGCAGAGCGCGGCTAGCAGCAACCCAGGCGGGGGGGGCGGGGGCGACAGCGGGGATGGGGGGAGC